GGAGGTCCCCGACGAGTCTGCAGCTGCGAGGGCCTTTGGCTTACCCCCTCGTTTTAAAGAGAAAGATTTCTTCGAGGGGTTTTCCCTGACGGTGAGCAGCGACGAGGCTGAGACTATCAGGCGGCTCAACAAAGAAAGCCAGAGAAAGCACCTGGCCGCCAGTATGGTCGGGATGGTGAAGATGGGCGAGATGGTCGTTGTCCTTTCCGAGGAAGGGTCGGACTCCTCGGATCGCGTCAGGGAGTTAGAGTCGGAGAAGGTTGCCCTTGCTTCCAGTTTGCGTAAGCTAAAGGCTGCCCTCGAGCGATCCGAGGAAATGTTTCGGGAACAAGCTGACCTGCTGGCGGGGGAGAAGGAAAACTCCGGGAAGATTGCCGAGGAGAGGGATTGCTTTCGACTGGACAAGGAGCGCTTGGAGGTCGACAACGAACATTTGTCTAAGGAGGTAGAGGAGCTGAAAGCTGCTATGCTTCCCGCTGAAGATGAGTCGGAGGAGACAGCCCCCCTGCGGACCCGTTCGGATCTGGTCGCGCGCATCCACCTCCTCAAGACGGATTGTGTCGGCGCTTTGGCGGATGGTTTCGAGGCCACAGTCAGCCAGCTCGCCCTACTGAATTCGGGCATGAATACCAAGGGAGTGGGTTTCATGTCCCAGATTATTGACGGCCAGGTTGTGCCTCCTGCTGAGTCTCCTATGGTGGATATCGGTAGTCCCGGGAATGTTTAGCGTGGAAATTCTGGTCGGGCCTGCGTGCCCGTTTATTGGTATTTGTTTTAGGGCCTGTGTGCCCGTGTTCATTTTTAGGGCATGCGTGCCCGTGCATATTTCTTTTGGCCGTTGTGCCATAGCCTGTAACTCTGAACATCGCTGGCCTTTTCGGTCGGTTCTTTTTTATTCGTTTTGTGTATGAGCTTTTAAACGGTTGTTCAATTTTGACTTTAAACTTGCTCGTGTCTAAGTTTTATGTTGTGATGAGATTTGTCTAAGTTATGTCCTCGAGACATGCTTGTATTCGGCTGTTGCTTTATGGCGAATTTTGCCTAAGTTATGTCCTCGAGTGGAGATCCTTTCGACCCATTTGGTGGTCCGACGTACTTCGAAATGCGTCGGTCGTGCAGAGTGAAGCCCGCCTGTCGGGCGAATGACCCAGATCGAGGTCGTATGCCCGCGGCGTGAACTGCCCATCGCGAGCTGGGTGTTCTGCCATGTGAGTACTTCGACAGTGGAGCTCGATAGAGGTGTCCCTGTCGGGCATCGTCGTTCGTCCTCGTTTGGTTGAACGACATTATATCGTTTGGTCATAGATCGAGCCCGTACCTTGGCCTACCTACGTGGTCGAGACATTTCTCTCTATTGACTAGATGTGGATGTTCGACGGCGAGAGTCTTTAGCGTTTAAGGGTTTTTAGCTATAATACTGCTTTAGCTTAGAAACGTTCCAGGGTCATGGTAATGGTTCTCTGTTTAGCTGCTCGAGGTAGTATGCCCCGGTGCCTTTGGCGCCATGGACGCGATATGGCCCTTCCCAGTTCGCGGCCAATTTCCCTTCGTGAGAGTCTTTCTGGTTTCTTCGTAATACCAGGCTGCCAATCTTGAACTCACGTTTGATGACCTTATCGTTGTGTCGCAGGGCCACACGTTGTTTTAGGGTGGCCTCGCGCAGGGCTGCCCCTGATCGAATTTCCTCGACCAAGTCGATTTTGTCCCCGAGTGCTTCGTCGTTCATTTCTTCGTCGAGGGGCATTTCTGTCCGTCTGGATGGTTCCCTGATTTCTACGGGGATGACGGTCTCGGTGCCGTATGTTAGTCGAAAGGGGGTTTCGCCCGTCGTTGAATGGGGTGTGGTGCGATAAGCCCATAAAACGTTGTGCAACTCCTCGACCCACCCTCTTTTAGCTTCGCCGAGCTGGCGTTTGAGTCCTCGTAGGATGACTCTGTTGGCGGCCTCAGCTTGCTCGTTGGTTTGAGGGTGCTCGAACGAGGTGAAATGTTGTTTGGTTCCCAGTTTGGTGACGAAGTTTTAGAATCTGCGGTCGGTGAATTGGGTGCCGTTGTCGGTGACTAGCGCTCTCGGGATCTCGAATCTGGCGAGGATGTTTCTTTTGTAGAAACGGAGGATGTTGTGCGAGGTGATCTTCGCGAGAGCCTTGGCCTCTATCCACTTCATGAAGTAATCCACGACCACAATAAGGAACTTGTTTTGGTAAGTCCCTTGCACGAATGGTCCGAGGATATCCATCCCCCACCACGCGAACGACCACGAGGATGACAGTACGCTCAGCTCGTGAGGGGGAGCGAGATGCATGTCAGCGTGTTTTTGGCACTTGTCACACTTCTTAACGTGTTCTTTGGCGTCCTGCTGCATCGTCGGCCAATAGTACCCCGCTCGCAGGGCTTTCCTCGCCAGGGACTTACCGCCCATGTGCTGGGCGTTAATCCCTTCGTGTATCTCCCGTAATACCTCGGGGACTGTGGATTCGTCGATGCATTTCAGGAGGGGGATGGAGAATCCCCTACGGTATAGTTTATGCTCGAGCACCACGTAGGAGCATGCTCTTCGTTTCGTGGTGGTTGCTTCTTTCTGGTCCGAAGGGAGCTCGCCCTTTGTCAGAAAATTGTACACTGGGGTCATCCAGCACGAGGTGTCTCTGATGGCGTGCACCTCGACTGGGGTCGAGGTCTTTTCGATGCTTGGGCGCGACAGGGATTCTTGTATGACGGATTTGTTTCCGCCCTTCTTTATTGTGCTTGCGAGCTTGGACAGTATGTCTGCTCTTGTGTTTTGCTCGCGCGGGACGTGTGATATTTCTGTTTGGTCGAACTTCTTCATGTGTTCTTTGACTAAGTTTAGGTATTCAACGAGGCTGTCATTTTTAGCTTGGTAACTCCCTTGGACTTGGGAAGCAACGAGTTGAGAGTCCGTGAAAATTTGTACCTCGCGGGCCCCTAGGTCCTTGGCTAGCCTTAGTCCTGTGAGCAGGGCCTCGTACTCTGCTTGGTTGTTCGAAGTCGGGAAATAGAGGGTTAACGAGTGCTCGATTACTACGCCTTCCTCATTTTCCAGGAGGATCCCTGCGCCGCTATCGGACGAGCTGGAAGCTCCGTCGACGAAGATGGTCCATTTGTGCTCTTTCCCTGCGGGTGGGTCGTGAGTGATCATTTCCGCGACGAAGTCGGCCAGAGCTTGTGCCTTTAGAGCTTTCCTGCTCTCGTATCAAATGTCGAACTCGGAGAGTTCCAAGGACCATTTCAACATTCGACCTGCCATGTCAGGTCGACCTAAGAGTTGTTTCACCGGTTGGTCGGTTCGCAATATGACTGTGTGAGCCATAAAATAGTGTCTGAGTCTCCTCGCCGCATTGACGAGGGCTAGAGATACTTTTTCTATCTGTTGGTACCTGCTCTCGGGTCCTTGTAGGGCTTTGCTCGTGAAATAAATGGGTTTCTGCCTGTCGGTGGTCTCGCGAATGAGAGTTGCGCTGATGGCTTCGTTCGAGACGGCCAAGTATAGGAATAAGGGCTCCCCGTCGACTGGTCGAGAAAGTACGGGCAGTTGGGATAGGCTTTGTTTTAGGTGGCGCAGTGCTCGTTCACATTCTACCGTCCATTCGAAGGCTTCTTCTTTACGAAGGAGTCTGAAGAAGGGAAGGGCGTGCTGAGCGGATCTTGCGACGAAGCGGGATAGCGATGTGAGCATACCATTCATGACTTGTATTGATTTCTTCGACGTAGGTGTCGGAAGGTCGGAGAAGGCTCGACATTTGTCGGGATTGGCTTCAATTCCTCGTTCTGTCAGGTAGAACCCGAGGAATTTCCCCTCCTTGACTCCGAACGTGCATTTTTCGGGGTTGAATCTCATCTTACATTGTCTCGCTTGGGCGAAGACTGCTTTGAGGTGGGTTGCATGATCGGTGTCTGCTCGGGACTTGACGATCATGTCGTCCATGTAAACCTCGAGCATGTCTCCGATTTTCTTGTGGAACACTGTTCATCATACGTTGGTACGTTTCCCCTGCGTTCTTTAGTCCAAAGGGCATTACATTGTAGTAATAATTGCCCGAGCTGGTCATGAAGGCAGTGCAATGTTTGTCGCCCATGGCCATTGGGATTTGGTTATAGCCTGAATAGGCATCCATGAACGACAATATCTTGTAACCGACCGAGTTGTCGACCAGCATATCGATGTTCGATAAAGGGAAAGCATCCTTCGGGCACGCCCGGTTGAGATCGGTATAATCAACACACATCCGCCATTTTCCATTATTCTTTTTAACTAGTACAACATTTGACAGTCAGGTTGAATATCGGGCTTCAGAAATAAAATTCGTCTCTAGGAGGTCTTTTACAGCTTTTTCTGCAGCCTCCATTTTCTCTGGAGACTGCCTACGCCTACGTTGTACTACTGCCTTAGCGGAAGGATCTATGGCGAGACGGTGACAGGCGACCTCAGGGTCGAGTCCGGGCTTCTTCGCGGTGCTCCACGCGAACAAGTCAGCATTCTCGCGCAGGCAGGCTTTGATCTGCTTCCTTGCCAGGTCGGGGAGGTCGATACCAATCTTCACTCCTTTGCTTGGGTCCTCGCCGAGGGGGACGAGCTCGAAGTCCCCGTCCGGGATTGGTCGGAGGGGGATTTGCTCGCTGTTGGGAGGTTCGTCCTGATCGAAACGGGTATCCAGAGCTATGGAGTCAACCTTTGGGGGAGCTCTCTGGTCTTCTGCTTTGACGGGCTCTGGTCTGTCGGGCTCCTGTCGTGTCGTCGCTGGTCTCTTGGCGGGCCTTGTCCATGTGTCGACCGTGTCGCGTCCCTTGGATGCGGCGTTGAAGCACCTTCGAGCAGCGGCCAGGTCCCCCTGGATGGTAGCAACCCGTGCGCTCTTGGTGTAGAAATTCATCTTCAAGTGAACGGTGGATGGTACTGCGGTCAGCTCTACCAGTGTTGGCCTTCCTAGGATGCAGTTGTAGAGGGACGGACAGTCGATGACGAGGAAGCGCACCTTGACATGCCTCGTCGCCATTCCCTCGCCGAAGGTAACCATGAGATCGACATATCCCCAGGGTTTGGAGGTCGAGCCGTTGAAGCCCTGTAAGTCTGACCCCACATACGGCGAGAGGTGCGAGTCGTCCAGCTGCAGAGTCCAGAATAATTGATTGTACATCACGTCGATGGAACTTCCTTCATCGACGAGGACGCGGTGCACGTCAAAGTTAGCCATTCTTGCTCTTATCAACAGAGGAATGACTACGTTGGGGGCTCCTCCGGGGAGCTCTTCGAGGTAAAAGGTGATAGGCTCCGACCTACCTTTCACCCTTTCAAAGGTCACCGTCTGAGGAGGTGCCGAGTCGACCAGTTCATCCAGCTTTCTCTTGGCCGAATTGATGGTTAGGTCGTTGAATCCTCCACCATTGATGACCATGGTGGAGGGAAAGTATTCCCACCTGCTGTGTGTCGTGAGTGGCTCCTGCAGGTGTTCGGGGACGTAGAAGTCCTCTGGTCTGGTGACGGAGAAGGCGGTCTGAACGGGGACCGTTTCGTCAGATGGTCGGGCGTCCTCCTCCGGTTCTCTCGCATCCCGGGCGTCACAACGAGGAGCTTCATTTCGCCGATATTGGGCGAGCCTCCCTCCCTTGATGAGGGTTTAGATGGCGTCCTTGAGGTGGACACAGTCTTCAGTCAGATGACCATGGCTCCTATGGTACTGACAGTACTTGCTATTGTCTACTCCGGGCTTGGGAGGAGCAGGTTGGGGGCGTTTGATGCCGCCGTCTTTGAAATTCGTGCTGGCACACTCTTCCAAGATGCGCTCGCGGGAAGCTGTTAGCAGAGTGTATTCTGTGAACTGCCCCGAGGGTCCTCTCTGTTCTCGGACTTCTCGGGGTCTATCCTCTTTTCTTTTCTCCCCGGTTCGTCGGGGAGGAGCGACTTCTTGGCGCAGGTTGCTGCTGGATCCGCGAGTTCTAGGGTCCTGGGCCCTGTTGGCCGCTTCCCTTTCCTCGTAGTCCATATACGCCCGGGCCTTCTCGAGGAGAGCATCGAATGTTCGGGGTGGTTCGATGCCCACCGCCTTTCTAAATTATGTGCCGGGGAGGAGCCCCCTCTCCAGTAAGTACCTTTTCATGTGGTCCGCGCAGGGGACCTGTATGGCTTCGCGATTGAAGCGATTGATAAATTCTCTCAAGGTTTCATCCTGTCTCTGGATGATGGCCTCGAGTGCTGCCTCGGTCTTTGAGTGTCGCCGAGACGCAGTGAATGAACTTATGAATTGATTCTTCAGGTTTTGCCACTTGGTGATTGATCCCGGGGCGAGGCCTTTATACCAATCCATTGCTTCCTTTCTGAGGGTCGTGGGAAACAACCGGCATTTGATGGGTCCCCCGACATTGTGGTAATGCAACATAGCCTCGAACTCGTCTATGTGGTCGACTGGGTCCACGACTCCGTCGTATTCCTTCATATGTGGAGGCTTTTCCATGCCCGGGGGAATGGGCGCCTCCATGATGGCTTGTGACAGGGGGCCGCGGTGGTCATCCTCGTCACTTTGCTCTGGGGACAGGGATGGGGACCTGAGATATTGTCGTGCCTGACGGTCCTGGTTGTGCTGGGTATCCCTCGAGCGTGGTGCTCGTTGGTCAATTCTTCTGTGCCTGTCTCCAGAGTGTCTTCTTTCTTGCTGTATGGGGCCATGGTTACGCCCTTCGGCTTCAATGACGGGTTGCCTCTCCAAGGGGGGTCGTCTCCCCGAGGGTCGGGGCGACGGGCTTCGGGAGGCGTCTCTGTATTGTCTCTGCGAGGGAGATGGGAGATGTACCTCTGTTACTCGAGGAGGTGGAGTCTGGGGCCTCCTGTGTCTCCTCGCGGGTCTTCTATCGTCTTCCAGCGCCCTCAATCTTTCCCCCTGGGCAAAGATGAGGTAGTTGGTTTGATTGATCGCCGCGAATAGTGCGCGGGTTATGGCATCTGCCCCGGCGGGGACAGGGACTTCCTGAAATTGGGCAGCTCGATAGTTTGGGGGAGCCATATTGTCTTCTTTGAGTGGCGGAGGGACCGAAGAAGATGAGGTTGTAGCTCTGTCTCGGTGGATCGAGGGTCCAGGGATGGTGGCCCGGGGAGTGTGTTATGGCCGGGGTTGCCGGCGTTGTCGGGAATTCCGTTTTTGTCCGCGAGGTTGTTGTTGACGTCGACGACGCGGACGTTCTGGTCGTCCCGAACTTGGTCAGCCATGACAATTGGAGGTGATTTTGAGCTTTGGTCTTCGAGGGTTTGCAAGACGGGGAAGCTAGTTTCCCACAGACGGCGCCACTGATCTTATCGGATCAGACTTGGACCGTCACGACTGGCTCGAGAAGAATGTGAGTGAGACCGGGGGGGGGGGGGGGGGGTACCTGCAAGACACTCCGATGCTAAAATGAGAGACAGAATGAGCAGGAAAGAAATGTGCAGGTGCGTAATAGATGAATACCCGACCCTCTGAAAATAAAGGGTATTTGTAGCCCCCAGCGCTGGGTCAAGGTCCCCTCACTAGGCTGACCAGAACTGGCCCAATGAAGGAACTGCCAGGTTCTACGTGTGTAGTGGAGCCCCGCACGTGGTCCCCTTCTTGGTGATGCTCTACGAAGAATGAGGAGGGACAAAGACGCAGTCTTTCTGAAGTTTAGATGATTCGATAACGGTCAGAGAGGACGAAGTCTGCCCTACGAGGAGGGTGCTCGAGCAGGACTCGAGCTGGAGTTCCCTTGGTCGGGGGCACCATGTGTCGCGGACAATGGCGGACATGGCTACAGTTTGTGGTTGGGCACGTCGGTGGTGATCTGCGGGTGCGCATTCCTCGAGGAGTTTGCTTGGATTGGGCCTTTATTTGTGCTTTGGGCCAGGGCGGCCCAGTCCAGAATATTATATAACTGACTCTTCACAAACTTCATAGTTGAAAAAACGTGTTTCACGTTTGCAGTTGCTATCGGCAAGACTAAAGTCAATTTCAGAAACTTATAAACTATATCTAATGTGTTGCATTTTTTTTGTTTCCACAAGCTTTGCACAAAGACCTGCAAGTCCTTTTAACTTTAAAATTTTTGGATCACATCGAACATTTCTAACATAATTTTGAAGTTGATGTTGCAGCACCACTTTTGGCACATCTATAAAATCATTTGGATAAAGTTTAACCATTCTTAATAATTTTTTCACATCAAAAACTGCAAATGACGATGGAGGATTCAAACATAAAACACATTCTAAAAGTTCAGTATTCTCTTCACCAAACCTAACATTGAGCTCGTGCAACTACAAATCTAAACCACTAAATAGTGTATCATTCCCAACTTCTTTAAATGGTGTATCATTCTTAACTTCTTTAAATGGTGTATATTCCCAACTTCTTTAAGTACTCTAATAATGACACCACACAAAATCATCAAATCAATGAGAGTCCTAAAATGGGAACTCCAACAAGTGTCATCTGCTCTAGCAATAGATGATTTTTGATTTAATCCACTACATGTCTCTAGCTAACCCTCTTTATTCAATTTAGCAAACTGAGTTACTTGTTTGTCTCGAAGCAATTCTTGTCTCTTATTAGAAGATCACATGAAATTAACAAGCATATTGATCTTACCAAAAAAACATGACAAACAAAATACTAGGTCCTTAGATTCACTATAATCAATCCAATTATATAAATCAAATTAATTTTTGCAAAATCGATATTTTTGTTTACCTTAAACAGACTAAAAATAAACAAAATTGTGAGGAGGTTGATGAAGACGTTCAATCCATTAACACTTCAAAACTTTATTCTCTAAACTCGAATGATTTAGTAAAATATATATTTAAATTTTTGTGTTTTAATTTAAAATATTAAATTTAAGTCTAAACCGTTGGATTGGGTGAACGTGTGATTTGCTGACTCCATCCCGAATAATACCTCCTCTATAGTTCACCGGAGAATGCAAAAACAGTGAACTGAAAGTAATCGTTTTCCGGCAACCGAAGATCCAGACGCCCTCGCCGCCAGTGAGTTCCCTATTCAATATATTATCTTCTCTTCACCTTATTCTTTTGAATTTACAATGATGCTATTTCTTTCTTGTTGCATTTTCTTCAATCTTGTTCATTTTGTTTATGGCAGTGTCGATCGAGGAGCTGAAATCTGCTATAGAAGAGCACTTTAATCTTACGTCAGATCTTGTTCAGAAGATCTCTTCCGAATTTCGCACCAACCTTCGCCCTGCTTACGATAACTTTTTGGCTTTTTTTCATTCCATTGATTGGAAGGTACTCCTTTCCTTCCCATGCAGTTTTTATTAGCAATTTATTCATGATAAGATTTGATTTCGGATTTGAATCTCAATTTGATAACCATTTTCTTGGATACTGTTTTCTGATAATGGATATAGGAGAAGCAAATTTTCAGTTGCGGATAATATAATTTGACTCATGGAATAAGCATATGTAGATGATATTGTGAGATTTTTCAATTACTAAAATGTTCAAAGCATAGCCGTCTCAAGTTATTTAGAGGCTCTCTGTAGATTAATCGTAGTTTAACCATGAAAAAAACAAATAAAGGCGATATTTAACCATAATTTAACAGTTATAAATTTTTTTTTTTTGGGTTTGTAGATGAAGTAGTGATAATCATTAGTAACTCACATACACAATCTCACACACACGACCGTGAGTACCAGAATTTGAAACTTGGTCATGGCGTCCAACCTAGCAATATCAGCTTTTGTCAGTTGAGCTAGGATTTGCGGACACCGTTATAAATATTTTATGAGACCCTTTTTAGCCACGGATTAACCGTGACAAATTTGGGGGCCAGTGCAATAGTCCACCTTGCATGCCCTTAAAGACGGCTCTGATTCAAAGAGAAGGTGATTGGATGCATTATTTTTTGCTTGCCAAATTGGTATCATCACCAAGACTTTCTTGCCATAAGAATGCTCAATTGTCTTGAGGATTTAAACCTTAATAAAGTTGCTACTGGAGAAACTTATTCTAAAATCAAAATGCAATTGTCATTTTTCTTGTCAGTTCAATGGAAGAGAGTTTATGTTTGTTTTTTTATATGGATATCAATTATGAATAGATAATATGGTTTTACGGATCTTTTACTCTTGGTGTTTTCTGAACTTGCTGGTTATTTGAACCCCGGGTACTTACTACTATTGCTTTGATTTTTTGGTTTCAGGAACCCTGGCTATTGGGATTGTTAACATTCCATGTTGTATTGCTGCTTGTAGCTATCATCTCTAGGAAGAATACCAACTTTCAGATGTGCTTGTTTCTTTTGACGTGTAAGTAATATACCCAAAATTATCGAAAGAGTGAATATCTGCTCATGCTAAAACTACATTTCTTTATATAGTGAAGCATCTAGCATTTAGATGCTTACAAAATCCTCCAATCTATCTATTCTGTTAGGTTTCCAGCTTTTTGCATATAGGTCCATTTATCTTGTCATGCTTTGATGGTTGACATGTTTTGTGTCTTTGTTGAAGCAATAATGTATAGATTTTCTTTGTTGAAAATTGTTTTGATGCAGTGGCTGGTGTATATCTCGCCGAGAGACTGAATAGTTTTCTGGGGGGGAACTGGAAAAGCTTCTCTAGTCAAAACTATTTTGATCCAAGTGGAGTATTTATGTCAGTTTTTTGGTCTGGACCTCTTCTTGCATTGGCTATGATAGTCTTGGTTAGTATTATTTTCCCTTATGACAACCATTTTATAAAGGTGATCTTTTCATGTTGAATATCTTGTCTCTTTCTGCAGATCAATACACTATTTTCCTTATGTTACTTGACTGTGAAGTGGAAAAGAGCTGAACTAACACATCGCGCAAGGGCCGCTCGTATTAAGCAGGCATAGTTGATCTGTAGTAGGATTTTGATGGATTAATTTGCAGTAGGATTTTGATGTGGTTAAGCCTGTTTGCAACATTCAAGGTAGTATAAGAACAGGCCTGTGTAAAATTGAAATTGATAAGAAAGAAAAAAAATTTAGGAACAAAATAAAGGAATTGGATTTAATAGATTAATTCTTTTAATATAAGATGAAAAATTACACAAAAATGAAAAACAAGTTGGCAATAAGCCGACCTCTGCCAAAGTGACATGATGTTAATAATTTGCAACATTTCTTATACTTTATTTGGATTTCACAGCAATGTAAAATGAACCAAAAACACATCACCAACACTAATTGTAGCCACAGTATTTAAATTAGAGAAAACAAGCTTCGATTCACAACCAACATAAAAATAAAAATAAAAATCTAAGTGGTACTTAAAAATTCATGGACAACATAAGTGAGAGAAAGAGAACTAAATTTTCCATGACTAATATTTCTAGTCATAACTCTTAACAGTATGGAAATTTCTCAATATACCCTTTGAGTTGTTAGGAATCCTTGGTGAGATTCCCGTAATTTTCTCTTGATTTAGATATGCATATCCGAACTCATCACATTTCAGTTTTTTATCGAATAGGTTCTGAGATGCATATCTAAAGCTATTAAATAGTAACTTTCGGATACACATATTTGAAATACACTGTTTCTTTTCTTTTTAATTTTTAAAATGAAGGTTATTTCGGATAAGCAAATTCAAATTATGCAGAACCAATAACATATTATGTTTTAGTAGAATCAGTACTATAGAAACATGAAAAAATTAAATCGGTAAAAGTAAATAGCTGTAAAATGTTGAATGGATATATTATATATGTATTGAATCCTATAGAATTTATATTGTGCACGACAATACATTCAAAAAATGGTTCAATTACATGTTAAAATACACTAAACGAATTGTTACAGCTTAAATCTAAAATTGGTTTTTTCTTTGACTTCTCCTTATTTGATTTTCTCTCAAACTCTGTCAATTTAGTGAACTCTGCCATCCTTTCCAAAAAGTGGTATGACTAAGTTTTCATCTCTTTTGCATAATGTGACGCCCACTCCATTGATGTAGCCGGAATAGGATACCCCAGTTTCAAATAAACCTGAACAAAATGGAGCGACTTAAGATACCCAATACAAATGATGCGGTCGGATGGGTCTTGAGGTGGACGACTCCGAAATGAGAAAAATGTCTCTGAAAAATCACATCTCATCAGATCGATACACACCATGTCATATGCACTTACTATAAGATGACTCATTTTAGGGAAGCACATCCACTTTGCAACTGGTACGGGACCACTAACACATGAAACAAGAGCATTGAGAATTTTATCAAATTCTTCATTTTTCCTATATAGTCGTGTGTAAAGTTCCTTATGCGCCGTCAACTCTGAAATAAGTGTTTGACGCACAAGAGTGTGATTTCGAAAATACCATTGGATATTTAAATCCAACGTTTAAATAATAATAACGTGTAAACACGGGGATTTTCGGAAATGCATTTCTGAAACACCTTAAAAATTGATTTAGAGTGTGTTCAGATATACATCTCCAAACCACCATTTATGATGCGTTCGGAGTTACATTTCTAAAAAAAATTGAGATTTTCAGATGTTTGAAAATGTATTAAGAAATTCCCTAACACTATATATGCATTATCTCAACTTTTCAATATAATTTAGCTCCGCCTTTCGGTCTAAATATCATTAATAATTGCCTCATAAGCAACTTTATGGACATAACAAACTATTTATCAAAATGTTCTATTCTTGAAATTTACAAATGTCTCAATGATAGACAAGGGATTCTCGCATACAAAAGAGAAAGATTTTGGGAGTGATAAAAGTGTTTGGACGAGGTAATTGAAATTGTTTACAAAATTTAAAATTTTAAACAATTTAAATAATTTAATTAAAATTAATTAATTTTCAAATTTTTTGTTTGGATAGGCTATTAAAGTATTCCTTCTTGAATTTTTTTGGGTCTTTTTCATAAAGTCTAAAATTTTAGATCAAATTTAAATTTGAAAAATAGTCATCTATGTTCTCCGAGAAAAGTTTGACTCCACTTCCACGACTGTTGGTGATCCATCTATAAATAATACTCATGTATAAGCTGGCTCTGGAGTATTTGAGGTCATTTTTATAATGAAGTCTACAAATAGTTGCACCTTTAGAGTTTTCCTTGACTTGTAGGAAACATTAAATTCAAACATCTCAATGAATCATTTTGTAAACCTTTCAACTAGATCCGACTGGTGAAGACCTACTTCAGTGGTAAGTTAGTTTGAATGATTATGGAATAGGCCACCGTAGCTTTCTAGATGCTGTCATTAAAGCTAGAGCTAGTTTCTGTATCTTTTGATATAACGTTATGGTCCAACCAAAGATTTGAAGATGAAATACACTAGAGTTTGGTAGCTGTTTGACTCTCTTACAAGAACAATGTTTATAGTGATGTGTCTGCAAGTGCACAAAAATATCGAAGTAATATAAAAGATTGTCGAACTCACAGAGACCAATGTCAACCTACTGTAATCTATTGTCGTTTTGTAAAGTTAAGACTAATGAATGATTGATTTAGGGGAAACTAAGAACTAAAACCGAAATAAAATAAGATTAAGAAAATATATAAGAAAAGAGAGACCAGAATGTGTAGTCTGTATATCTCAGGGACTCTGTAACTCGTTGGCTTATATTGATATTAAAAATGTGTTTAGTAGAAAATATCAATTTAAATACTAAACCTCAGACTCTCGTGGTTTTGAATGAAGCCACATTCCTTGACCATGACATTTTGCTCTCGCTGACCCATTTTAATTAAGGAATATGTTTTGAAAATTGAACAAGTCCTAATCGATACTTAAAGTGCTCTCGTCCTCTTTAAGATCGACGTCTCGTTTTTACTATCTGGTTCGACCCCCACGCTCTCGCAGTGCCGACTCGAACCTTAGTTAATTTCTCAGTCTCGTTATAAAATCATGTTAGCTAACCTCTTACTCTCGTGACAAGGATATTTAAATTAAGTTTAAAAACAAGAACCAAATACAGGATTTTCATATAAATATTAAGCAAACATTGTTACCGAGTCCGTCGGAAACGATGATCCACACATACCAGACTCAAAACAATTTAGCCGAACAAATTTAAAGAAACAAACATGCAATTATAATGAACATATATATATTTAGTTTTGTAATGATAAAACAATATTATAAGAACAAGAAACTATAATAATTGCAAATAAATAAACCTAGAAGTAAAGTAGACGAAATAAACTTGAATAAAACTACGAACGAAATAAATCTTGAAACTTGAATAAAGCTTTGAAATAATATCGGCAAGATTGTGATCAAAGAGTACATAGATTGTAGGCTTAAAACTAATGGTGTGGCAGTTCCCCGATATGACAAACTACCACTTTTACAAAGTGATTTCGGCCTAAAACTATGAACAACGCTTCTACGCACAAACTTGGATGCTCAAACAATGAATGCTAGATCCTTTATATAGTGAGAAATGCTGAAAGTTTTCATGTGAGAGGTAGTGGAGATAATGAAGATCATGGTCGGAGAAGTTGAGAAAATCATGGGGTGAATGAGTGAGATGGTAGGCTTGGATAAGGTTGCAAGAAAACAAATATGTGGCTGCAATATTAGAGTTGTGGTGAGGGCCACACTTCTTGGCAAGTTGTGGCGAGGGCCACAAGTTGTGTGGCGAGGACTACAGGTCCAAGTTTGTATTTTTTTCTTTTTTTTTGCTCTGTTTTCTCAGTTTCTCGCCCGTTTCTTACTCTTTTTCGCATGCGTGCTCTTTCTTAGCATGTACCTGAAATACCTGAAATGGAATAGAAATATCGGTATAAAATGACATAAATAAATGAAAAACGATACTAAAAATGCATGTGAGTCAAGTCGAATAAACGATATAATTTCGCGTTATCAATAACTTCATTGGATACAACCAAATAAAGGTATAGAGACTGCTATACTCTAAATTTGTCCTACCCTTATTTTAATTTAGATTTCTTTTCAAAAATAACTCACATTGTAGGTGTTTAAAATAGGGGTCTATCTCGAGAAAATGGGAAGTGCGTGCTATATAAAAAAAACTTTGGGTCACTTCTAAATCAGAATAGTCCATTTAATTTAATTGGCGTATAAAACAATTTATCTTTGTTTAAAATTGAATACAGTTGAATCATAAGGCCCATGCAAGTTTTTTCTAGCAGTCTGTTTTCGTTGAGGCCCAATAGAAGACACATGCATGGTCCATTTCAGTTTGTGGATTTGTTTTGGAAAATAATGTTTCAATTATAATCATCATTATTTTTAATATCAACATCACTCTTATTTTTACTAAATTATAATTATCATTAATCATTAGGTTCTAAAGACTTAATCAGAAATGTTGTTTATTTTATTAATGAAAAAATGTTTGATTAAAGGAAAGCCAGAATTGGACTTTCTCATACAACCCATTGTCTGGCTCAATATATTACAAGCCCTTTAAGTTTATTTAAAGTCTTATTAGAGGGTGTTCAAATATATTACAAGCCCTTTAAGTTTATTTAAAGTCTTATTAGAGGGTGTATAGAACAACTTTTTAAAGGCTCAATATAATTGAGTAAGCCCATTTGTGCACAAGTCAGAAAAAAATATTTTATTTTGTGTGGCCCAATAGCATTTAGTTTTTTTTTTAAAAATAATTTTTTGCATCATGAATGTTATGAATTTGATTGCGCGGCCCAATGTCCAAAACAAAATCGGTGCAACCCAAAACAAAAACAATTATTATGTAGATTTAATCAGAAATTAATGCTTCAAGTCTTGATTCATCAAAATCATCATTCAATTCGCCAAAAGACATGAAGGATCGAATCCGGAACAGAAACGAAATGGAATCAATACATTTACAACCTTACTCAACACAATCAAACCAAAGTAGAAAATTAATCAATACGACAATTGCATATTCAAATTTTTTTCTAAATCTTCTATACAAACACATTAATAAGCTTATGTATGGATTATCACGTGTTTTGTTCAAGAATGAGTTTGTGAAAGAGAGTTGCTATGGTGATTAACTCGATAGAGATGAGAAGAGGACATCTAGTAGAAAGGTGAAATAGTTTTATTGGGATTTATGTTTTGTATTTTATCGTTTGGATTTAAGGGGTATTCTTATTTTTTATTTATTTTTATTTTTATTCTTAATCATCGCCACATGTCAGCATATTAATGTTAAGGACAGAAGTTAACACGTATTACTAGTTGTTAGTGGGTTTAGTGGGTGGTTTCTTTGATGTTAATAAAAGACCTATTCAATTGGTCTGTTAGCTTTATTTTCCTTTAAGTTAGCTTTCATTCCATATTTGTAGGAGTAGTGGTTACGTGGTATTTTTCCTCTTCCTGTAACTGATGTAAGGCTATATAATAGCCATTACTTCTCAACAATAAAATCAATCTTCTTTGCTTCAAACCTTATTCCATATATGTATCTTGTTTCTTAACATATGGTATCTAGAGCCTAGAATTTCTTTATACAGAGTGAGTGTTAGTGAGCCATACTTGCAAGCATGACTTCAGAAAATTCTTTTGTACAACCAGCAGTTCCTAAGTTCGATGGGTACTATGATCATTGGGCAATGCTCATGGAAAATTTTCTACGATCAAAAGAGTATTGGGGATTAATAGATGAAGGCATCCCTAAGACTGCAGTCGGAACAGTGTTGACAGATGCACAAAAGAAGCAGCAAAATGAGTTGCAACTCAAAGATTTGAAGGCCAAGAACTATCTTTTTCAAGCATTGGATCGTTCTATCTTGGAGACAATTCTCAAGAAGGATACCGCAAAGGATATTTGGGACTCCATGAAAATAAAGTATCAAGGGACGAATCGAGTCAAGCAGGCTCAATTGCAAACCCTACGCAAGGAATATGAAATTCTGCATATGAAGGAAGGAGAAACAATAACGACCCTCTTCTCTCGAATTCTTACAATCGTCAATAAGATGAAAGCCTGTGGTGAAAACAAAGATGACAGCGATGTTGTGAGTAAGATTTTGAGGTCGCTGACTCCAAAGTTCAACTATGTTGTATGTTCTATTGAGGAGTCAAACAACACAAATGCACTGACCATTGATGAACTTCAAAGCAAGTTGCTTCTACATGAACAACGTATGTGTCCTTCTATTGAAGAAGAGCATGCTCTGGCTGTTACTTTTGGAGGTCGGGGACGTGGTCGTGGAGCTCGAGGTAGAGGTCGTGGTAGACAAAGTCGTGATCGATCAACCGTAGAATGCTACAAATGCCACAAGCTGGGACATTTCCAATGGGAATGTTTATCCAAGGAGAATGAGGCTCATTATGCTGAAAGTCAAGAAGAATTGCTACTCATGGCGCAGGTTGATATTACAACACACTCTTATGAAAATCAATGGTTCCTTGATTCAAGATGCAGCAATCACATGTGTGGTATGAAATCATCTTTCTCTGATCTTGATGAAAATTATCGTGACTCGGTTAAATTGGGGAACAATACTTCTATGGCTGTACTGGGCATGGGCAATATAAGGTTGAAAGTAAATGGTAGGGTGCATATCATTACTGGAGTTTTCTTTGTGCCTGAATTGAAGAACAACTTACTAAGCATTGGACAACTGCAAGCCAAAAACCTAACTATCATGTTTGAAGGTGGAAAATGCAAAGTATTTCATCCTGAAATAGGTCTCCTCATAGAAACAAAGATTGCTGCCAATCGAATGTTTATTCTAAATGCCGTGGCTCAACCTAAGTCTTCTACATGTTTTAACACTGTTGCTGAGGATGAATGGTATCTTTGGCATTGTCGGTACGGACATTTAGGTTTCAAGGGACTCCAAACTCTTGTTCAGAAAAAGATGGTGACTGCACTGCCCCACTTGAAGTATTCAACAAAGACATGCAAAGATTGTTTGGTTGGGAAGCAACATAGAGAGTCTTTCCCATCACATAGTACATGGAGAGCATATCACATTCTACAATTGATTCACGCTGACATTTGTGGGCCAATTAAACCAGAATCCAACAGTGGAAAAAGGTATTTTCTCACTTTAACCGATGATTTCAGCCGCAAAACATGGGTTTATTTTTTGACTGCAAAATCAGAAGCTCTAGGTGTTTTCAAAAGTTTCCAGATTCACATTGAGAAACAAACTAGTCATGCTGTCAAAGGCCTACGCACAGATCGAGGAGGAGAGTTTACTTCTCACGAATTCATGCAACATTGTGCAGAGCATGGTATCCAACACCAATTGACAACCGCATATTCTCCACAACAGAACGGCATTGCTGAAAGAAAGAATCGAACTATAATGAATCTTACTCGAAGCATGCTGTCCAACAAACAAATTCCTCGCACTTTTTGGCCGGAAGCTGTCAATTGGACTGTGCACATCTTAAATCGCAGTCCTACTCTTGCTGTAAGAAATAAAACCCCGGAAGAAGCCTGGAGTGGCATCAAACCTTCAGTTGAGTATTTTCGGGTTTTTGGTTGCATTGGCCATGTTCATGTTCCTGATGCTAAGCGAACCAAACTCGATAACAAGAGTTTTCCTTGTGTTTTACTTGGCGTCAGTGATGTATCCAAAGCATACCGACTATATGATCCAGTTTCCAAACGAATCATCATTAGTAGGGATGTCGTCTTTGAAGAAGATAAGGCTTGGAATTGGCACACCAATTCTGAATCTTCCACGGCGTATGAGTTAGAGTGGGAAGAAGAGAAAGATGTTGGCAGCAGCAGTTCTGAAATACCTGAGGCTGAAAATGCTGATCAAGTCGCTGACCATGATGAGCCTGAGCATCATACATCAGCCCCAGTTGATGCATCAACACGTTATCCAGTACGAGACCGCCGACAACCATATTGGATGAATGATTATGTTACTGGTGAAGATCTTTCCAATGAAGAACTTGTTGATTCTTTCTCTAACTTAGCCTTGTTTACGTGTGATGGTGATCCTACTTCTTTTGAGGAGGCTGTTAAAAGTGTCAAATGGCATCAGGCAATGGATACTGAAATGGAATCCATAAAAAGGAATAATACGTGGGAATTGGTAGATTTTCCTAGTGGTGGAAAGATTGTTGGTCTCAAGTGGATTTACAAGACCAAGTACAATGAAGTTGGTCAGATTGACAAATACAAGGCCCGATTAGTAGCAAAAGGGTATACACAGCAACACGGCATCGACTATAATGAAGTGTTCGCTCCTGTAGCACGAATGGAAACCATTCGTCTCATTCTAGCATCTGCAGCACATTACAGTTGGCCTCTCTACCAACTTGATGTCAAGTCAGCATTTTTGTATGGCGAACTAGCAGAAGAGGTGTTTGTGGAACAGCCGTGTGGATATGTCAAGAAGGGGAATGAAGACAAGGTATACCGACTAAAGAAAGCTCTTTATGGCCTGAAGCAGGCCCCGCGAGCATGGTATAGTCGGATAGAGACACATTTTCTGAAGATGGGATTTAAAAAGTGTGATTATGAACACACTCTATTCATCAAAACAGACTAGGGAGGCAAGATCTTAATTGTGAGTATGTATGTTGATGATCTCATCTATACCGGTAATGATCCTTTAATGTTCACTTCTTTTATGAGTTCTATGAAGCAAGAATTTGATATGACAGATCTCGGTAAGATGCGATATTTCCTTGGTATTGAAATTCTGCAATTGCACAACAGTATTTTTATATCTCAAAAGAAATATGCTTTGGAGGTATTAAAACGCTTTGGCATGAATGACTCGAATTCTGTGCAAAATCCTATAGTACCAGGAATGAAGACCACAAAAGAAATTGGCAGTGATGAGAGGGTGAACAAGTCACATTATAAGCAACTTATTGGATGCCTCATGTATCTAACAACTGCTACACGGCCTGATTTGTCATACGTTGTCAGTCTCCTTAGCCGTTACATGGAGAATCCTTCGGTGAAACATATGTTGGTAGCAAAACGGGTATTACGCTATTTAAAGGGAACTGCTGATTTTGGAATTCTTTACAAAAAGGGTGGAGTAAATGAACTTGTGGCATACACAGACAGCGATTATGCAGGTGACGTAGATGATCGGAAAAGCACTTCCGGCTATGTTTTCATGCTTAGCTCTGGAGCAGTTTCATGGTGCTCAAAGAAACAACCTGTGGTTAGCTTATCCACCACAGAAGCTGAATTTATAGCTGCTGCTTCTTGTGCTTGTCAAGCAGTGTGGTTACAAAGGATACTATCAAATTTAAATCAGATTTCTGAGAGTAAAGGCATATCGGTTAACTGCGACAACAGTTCTACTATTAAGCTGTCTAAAAACCCAGTTTTGCATGGCCGCAGTAAACATATTGATGTCAGATTTCATTTTCTTCACGAGATGTCCAAAGAAGGAATTGTAAGTTTGATTTATTGTGCTAGTCAAGAACAATTAGCAGATCTTATGACCAAACCATTGAAGCTGGGAGTATTCTTGAAGTTGCGAAAGTCTCTTGGTGTTTGCTCTGAAATTGAAGTAAACTGCAAACCAGAAGTTAAAATGAGAAGTTGCAGTTTAAGGGAGGATGTTGAGGACAGAAGTTAACACGTATTACTAGTTGTTAGTGGGTTTAGTGGGTGGTTTCTTTGATGTTAATAAAAGACCTATTCAATTGGTCTGTTAGCTTTATTTTCCTTTAAGTTAGCTTTCATTCCATATTTGTAGGAGTAGTGGTTACGTGGTATTTTTCCTCTTCCTGTAACTGATGTAAGGCTATATAATAGCCATTACTTCTCAACAATAAAATCAATCTTCTTTGCTTCAAACCTTATTCCATATATGTATCTTGTTTCTTAACAATTAATGGATGTCCCATTTGTTTTAATAAGTCAATATCTTCTAGAATTTTTAGGTACAGTAGAAAAGTAGAGTTTACGCAACATTTACGTGACCATCTTTCTATTGCTTTTTTTAAAAATTATTTTATTGTTTTTGTTTGGTTGTCGTTGTGATGTTGTCATTAGAGATAATCTAGGAATTACAATTATTTCCTAAGTTAGGAATCAACTATAATTTAGGATTTAGGTTTTAATTGATTCTCGATCATTCAGCGTAATCAACAATATAAAAAAATAAAATAAATACGTTTAACAGTAGTAATTAAATTAATTAAGGTTAGTTAGTTTTTTTTAATCTAATTCAAGAAATATTAAAAAAAAATATGTATTAGGTTTTCACGTAATTTTAATAATTAATTTAAACATTCTATAAATAATAGGATATTCATCTTCGAGTGATTAAATCGGTTGACACATTGTCTACCGATTTATTATTCAAAATCAAACAATTAAAATCTACGCAACTCACTAAATTCTACGTCCGCGAGTGACACGTGGCCAATATCTGACCACGTGATGAGGAAACTATATCAGACTCCCTCACTCTACGTCTTAATACAACTAACTAACATCAAATCAACCTTTTTTACTAACATGATCAAATTTATGTTTATTTTCAAAAAGGGTTGTATTAAACTTTTTTTTAAACTATGAGATACGTCTACAATTCCGCTTTTTTCAAATTCAGACCTGGTTCAAGGAGAACTCGAAATATTTCTACAACCCATAAAAAAAACTAACCAAACCCGCGAACTACGAAATGGGACTGTTATTCCTCATAAGAGGACATACGATTAAAATCGTGACGAGTTCCCCCTAATTAAAATTAATCCTTTTCCCCTAATAAAATATTAAAAGCCTATTTCTTAAAAATTGGGCTTCTAAACCTAGCATCCTTGTGAACAAGGTAGATGAGGGGTGTCTAACACCTTTCCTTCGTCTAGAACCGAGTCAACAATCTAGAATCTCTGACTAGTTTAGGGTTACCCTTTATATTCCCTTCCTTAGGATAAAAATTAAGGGTGGTGACTCTCGATTTAAAAGTCAGTTACAACAGAGACTCCTTGGCGGTTGGTCCAGATAATATTGGTAGAGTCGACAGGGCTATCTTTAAGGATGTGAACGCTTGTTGGTAATCTGGGTGTTGTTAGTCATGAATTTTTGACTAAGACATAAATAAAGTTGCATGAAGATGGAGGTCCAAAATCAGACGAAAGAATATTGATCGAAGGGGAGCAATATGGATGATGGGTTCGAGAATTGAGATGTCAAAGAAAGTTAAATTAGGAGGAATCGTTTGTTGGTCTAAGATTCCATAAAAAACTATATGGGGATTTAGCCAAATTGTATTAGATTGTTTAAGATAAAGTTGAAGATGCACGCAATTGAGACATACAGTTTCTACAAGTAGTTGTCAAAGATGTGTTGGAAGTTGTGAAAAGCATTTTTGCATGAAATTGTTACGTGGCAAGCTGTCAACAGTCAAACATTAATAGTAGTTATTTTTAGAATGTCTTTATAAGTAGAATTTAGGTTCAGCTTTAAAAGTTTGCATTTGTAACATTACAAGAAAAACTTAAAGGACCCATGTCAAAGAGAGAAACGAGTGACTTTTGAAAAATGTATGCATGCATTCCTGTCTAATTTCAAAGTAATTTATCTTTTTCTTTTAATATCGTTTCTTTACTTTCCAATTGTTTTGTCATTTTCATCTTTTCATTTGTGTTGCATGAGCGTTTGTTCAATTTTCTATCCACTAAACATTAAAAATCCTTTAAGACTTAACACTATGCTCTAAGATTTTGTAGTCGATCTTATAAGTTAACTTTAATCAGAGGCTAGAGATTGTTTACAAGAAATCTAGGTAAACAAATTGGCACGTCCAGTGGGACCTTTGTGCTAAGTTTTTCACGTTTTCAAAAGTAATATTGTTTATGATTCTTTAGATTCTTGTGCATAATTGAGTTTGCATGAGATGAAGGAGTGGTAGGATAGCCAAACATAATGAGACCTTGCAAAATAAAAAGTACATTAGAAAAATAGTGGATCCTAGAAACACCAATCCAAATGGAGAGCAACCCTAGGGGGAAGCACACTTGCTGCAAATTCTTCTGACGCATTTGTGTCTATATCAAGCACTATTGTTATACTATCAAATGCCCAAAGTGGATTGATATTATCACCAAATCAACCGTTGACCCCTAGACCGTCTGTGACAAGTGTATCTGGACCTTATATGCCTAGTTTCATAATGCCTATATATGGTGAGGAATGGGTTTATGGAATGCCAAATTCTATGATAGCTGGTTTACATAATAACGCTTCGATGGTCTCAGAAAATCCAACATATTCTTTCTCACCATTTCAAGGATCATGAATTGTTGGAGGTCAATTTGGTCGTTCGACAAGAATGGGATTTTTGTCCCAAGTAATCTCTACTTTCACCATAAGTTCTGTAACAATTATGAGGCAACAAATGGATGAAATAAATCACGAAATGGTACATTTGCTTACTCAACAAATAGGTACTATATTGAGACCATTAATCTAGAGTTGAACTCAAAGTTACCAATAATTGGAAACTCAAATGACTCGGATAGGAGATTTTATGGGTGCTCCTCAAGCTCAGGTTTGATCAGTGGTCTTGACTCAACTGGAAATACATGTTCGAAATAAAGAAGTAGTGATTAAGGGAAACATCGACCAAGGGTAACAATAAGTACCTCAAGGGGTTGAACAGATCCCTAGAGGAGTCGAACAACAAATACCCAAGGTAGTCGTACACCCACATATTATGGTAGTTAATAGGAATCAAAATGCATGAAGATGTGAAAAACACAAGAAGGGGGGTTGAATTGTAAAACTTTAAATCAAATGCAGACAACACTGTATTTTTATCCTGGTTCGTTTGATCTCAAACTACTCCAGTCCACCCGTCAAGGTGATTTCGCCTCTCTCCAACGAGGTCTTAATCCACTATATTCAACTGAATACAACAACTACTTTAACAACTGTTAAAGCCTTCTTGAGTCTAACCACATACCGATTTATCTCAAGGAAATTCTCTTACAGATAATTGAACAAAAAGTGTGTTAATATTTTCTAACAAAACTATATATCACAACTGTGGTAATACACAATATTAAGCTTGGAATAAAAACTGGATTTGCTAGAGCGTTTTGATGAGCGTGGTTGGAAAGCTTAGCAAATTCTATGAGTGGGTGCGTTTTTGTAGGCGTGTATATGCGTAGATTATTAGCCTCTTCTTTTCTCACACAGACTTATTTATAAAGCCAAAGCAAAGATACGTTGGTGTCCATAAATCACGTTCAATGACCATAACGTTCTTTCCTTTTTGAGAAGATCTTGTCTTGGATAAAGTCGTTGGTAATTAATCTGTCTTGAATGCTTAGTAACGCTTCAAAGTGTTCTGCTAATGATAATCAGAGTGTTCTTTGCTTTAGCTTATGCTGACGCTTCTGAGTGCTAATGACTTGGTAAAGATCTTGATCAGAGTCAGAGTATTTTGTGCGCAGATTCTGGTCATCAGGCTTCAGCGTATGATTTGGTAACTTCAGCGTGTAGCACATGATATTGATCTTCTGATGCTGACATATCTTCTGATGCTGATGTTGATATTGATCTTCTGATGCTGATTCCATCAGAACTTCTGTAAATACACAACATAATTTTAAGTAGCATATATGTCATATATATATATAAATCTTATAATTTATTTATTCTTGTATTTTGTTATCATCAAAACTCTAATTGAGGGTTGTAGAATCAAACTATATTCTAACAATCTCCCCCTTTTTGATGATGACAAAAACCAGATTTTTTTCAATTAAAAATAAGGAATAAAAGGTATCAGAGATTAAAAATAAAGAATAAAAGGTATCAGAGCTAAGATAAGGAGTAAAAGGTATCAGAGCAACGAAGAGAAAACTCCCCCTGAGTTGATTACTTCCCTTTAATTCCAAGATTCTTTGAGCATCAGAACTTTACTGTACTTTACTGTTTCTTTCGTCAGAATTTTGTACCTGTTCAAGCTTTTCAGAAGAAAGAAATTCAAATAGATCAGAATTTCAAAATGTTTGAGACTTATGTCTCAGTAATCTGTTATTGAAAAATATCATTCTTTCTCCCCCTTTTTGTCAGTTATCAAAAAGCACAAATAATCAGAGTTAAAATAATCAGAGCTGAAAATGCATTTATATTAAAAACAGAAGCAATGATAAGTTCAGAACATGTAAAAATATTACAGATAAACAAGTTATAAAGACAGCAAGGAAATTTCTAAGAAGGAGGAGGAAGTCGTGTGAACAAAGCCTCCAACATGCTCTTGATTTGGGTGTTGGTTTCCTGTTGCTGAGATAACATGTTCGCTATAGCATCAATTTTGGTGTCCTGCTTATCCATTCTTTCATTCATCAGCATATCAGATCTTTTCAAGCCTTCAAGAGTTTGCCTTTCAAGGGAGGAAGCTTGAGGATATTCAGAAACATGATGCTTCTCAGAGCTTGCGGCAATATCTTCTTCTTGACCCAAGTCTTCAGGTGGAATCATCTGTTCTTCTGATTCTGGTTGATCTTTGGAAGCTGGATGATGTTCAGACCAAGGGGCAATGTCCAGATGGAGAACTTCTTCCTTAAGCAGCTTGCTCAGAACTGGACCTTCAATTTCTTTCAGAAGATTGCTGAAGTT